TTTTTTTTTTTTTTTTTTTTTTTTTTTTTTTTTTTTTTTTTTTTTTTTTTTTTTTTTTTTTTTTATTCTTTCGGTCGTTCGTCGCTGCAAAGCGGGCGCAGGGCCCCAAGCAAAGAAGGAACGCACAGCAGGACCCATGCGGAAAACCGTTTTGTGGATCAGGCCGAGAGCAGCTATATCGCGAAGGCGCCATATGAGCGAGGGAGAATTGCTAAAACAGCCTCGGAGACACCCCCAAGGCTGACGAGAAACGCTGTTGAACAGAATCGAGTAAGCCGAGGACAGTAGTCGAGGCATGAGTGATGAGCGGCAGTTCGGCAGTCGATATAAGAAAGCACATGGCTCCGATAAGTTAAATCATTCCATCTTTTGCACAGAATCGCCGCGACTGGAGAAGCGACGTTGTGCGCCAGCCAGCTTCGCGCGCGCGTGCTCGGACCGCCTCTTGCATGAGTGAAATCACAAAAGACGCCCAGCATTCCAAAGTTCTCACAGACCAGATGTGCATTTTTTCCGTGCTGTCGAAGCAAACGTTTTTTTAGTTTCGTCTTGGGGATGCAGCTTTTGTTCGCGCGCAGACGTGAAGTCGAAAACTTCGTCGCTATGTGACACAGCGAAAAACATTTTAATCATCAGTGAAAGCAATCTCTTGGAAACCGCTGTCGCAGATCCTGGACGTCGGCTTAAAATGTGTTTTACAAAGGCGGTCCGAAGTCCGTGCCTTGGCAGATCATATTGCGCGTCCGCGCGGCGCGAAACTGAGCGCCTTTAACGACGTGTGCTGATCTCGGGCGAAGCCAGTCCTCCAGAACAGCGAGGAGAAGGGCAGGCGTGCCAACAGCTGCCAATTTTGCGCGCAAGCGTCGCGGCGATACTTTGTCGGAGGCGCCGGAGGCATCATAACAGTAAGCGCAGCCCGCTTTCCCTGCCACGAATTATAGAGTTTCCAGCTCCTCGGCCATTTGCCTGATGTTAAGATCGACCGCGAAGAGTGATCGAGGGTCCAGCGAGCTCGCGAAAACACCGCTTCAGCACCCGTGCGGAGACTGGACTTGGACCAGTGCCGCTGTCTTCACGTGGCGCCGGCAAGATTTGGCGGGCGCGCGCAGGCGGAGAGGAGGAAGAGGGGGGCGAGGGAGGAGGAGGAAGAGCAGTTTTCAGCGTTGTGATGCAAGCCTGCAGCCATCTCTCTGGAAAAATGCTGAACTATCCCAGATCCGGCAGGGTCCCAGAGATGGGCAGGCGTGGGATGTGCCACCGCCCTGTCGCCCCCGACCAGAGAGATTGCTCCTTAATCTGTGTAGCAACATGCGACCAAAAATCTTCCAGTGAAGCACGGGTGCATGCGCGAACGAAGGGAAATTCGGCCGTGTAAGCGCGTGCCTGCTTACAGCTTGAAGACAATCCGCCAACGTTATCAGTCTAAATTTCACGCCAATTTGAATCGCGTGGAAACCGTCTCAGATCGCGCCAGTTAGCTTGAGAGTATCTCCAACGCTCGCTTGCAACAGTCAAACTCAAACTGGTGTAAAAGAAATTGAGGCCAGACCGAGATCGTGATCTGCTAGTTTCGGAAGTGCAGCAATAGACACGGGCAGCGCAAGTGAGCCCAATGCTACGGCAACCAGGGCTGCGGGACTTTTCATTTTCGGTCGTTCTTCGTTCGTTCATGGTTCGTATTTGGCCTGTCTGGCCGCTTTCCTGGCCTGCCCCAGTGCGTAGACGATGGGACGATATCCGTCGTGAGTTCACAAAACGTGGCAGGACGGGAGATCCTGGATACCAGAGGAGCCCATGGCAGTAGGGGCGCTATCCATTGTAAGCTCGTGCGACGTGGCACGTGGCTTTTCTTCGACACCAGAAAGACTTCGCAGGGGGTGGGATGGTATGTCGTGGACTCAGTTTTTCGTAGTTCGATTTTTGCGTGGTGCTGTTCATGAACAACAACATCTCGCAAACCGTGGCAGGTGTTGCAATTGTACGCAGAAAGGGGGCCGTAAGCCCGCAAGGCGTGGTGGCGTTGCCTTTCTTAGACACCATGGGGAGGGCGCAGTGGGTAGGGAGCGCTATCGGCTATAAGCGCGGCAGGCGCGGCATTTCCTGTACACTGGGGGAGGTGCGGAGGGAGTGGAGCATCGCCGTGGGCCAGCAAAGTGTGGAAGGCGTGGTACTGCTTTGGCGCTAGAAGGTTGCAGGCGTGGCATTTCCTGGGTACTAGAGGGGTGCACAAGGGGGCGGGGGCAATCCGCGTGAGCTTGCCAACGCAAGCGTTGCATTTTCTCCGCCCAGAGGGGGGCGCTGGGGGAGAAAGCTGCAGGAGAGGAGGGAGAGGATCATTTAGGAGATTTGCTTAGATGAGCGAGATTTTGTTGGCGCTTATGCTATGTATGTGGTTCGTCCTTGGCCGTTTTGGCCTCCCTTCTGGGCCGCGGAGGTTTTTCTTTGGCTCGTGGTTCGTTTGTTTACGGCGCGTCCCTAGCACCCTAATTCGTTTGTGCATTGCCACAGAGAAAGTTTTCGGAGACCGTTTCAACGCATTTTTGTTTTTGTCGCGACAGGCGCAGAGAAGTTGTGTTTTCTCTCTGCCCCCCCGGCCAGAGAGACATTCGTGTGTTCGTACCGTGCCGTGGCTGGCCTTTTTTTCCTGTTCCAGTCTACTCGTTTTTAGACGGTCGGTTTCTTCTGACGAGAATTTTGATTTCATGATTCAGAAATGTTTTTCAGGGTTAAAACCGCCACGACGCATGACATCGGCGAGTTTCAAGCGGGAGATGCTGAAGTCTTAAAAAATCATAACTTTTTTTTGTTCGTAGTGCGTCCTTGGCCTCTTTGGCCTCCCCGTGATCTCTCTCCAATGGGCAACGGAATATTCGATTATTTTTGTGGGTCGTTCATTCGTGGTTCGTTCCTGGTTTCTCTGGCCTCCCTGGCCTTCCCCCGTACTTTCGTTGGTGGTTCATTCACTTTCGTGGTTCGTCCTTGGATTCTTCGACCTTCTCCGCGTTGCCCTGTCCCTCTTGGGCCGCGAAACCTTTTTTTCCTTCGTGGTTCGTTCATTCGTGGTTCGTCCGTGGCATCCCTGGTTTCCCCCATTTGGGCCGCAACACCTGTTATTTTCGCACGTGGTTCGTTCGTTCGTGGATCGTCCTTGGCCTTTTCTTTTCCCCTGGCCTCATTACCCTGGGTCGCGGAGGCGTTGATTTCGGCTTGTTGTTCGTTCGTTGGTGGTTCGTCCTTGGTGTCCTGGCGCTCCCCCTGGGCCGCGGAACTTTTCATTGCCGTTTGTGGTTCGTTTGTTCGTTGTTCGTTCGTGACCTCCTTGGCCCCTCCTTCTCTGGCCTCCCCCCCCTGGGCCGCGGAGCCTTCGATTTTCGTTCTTGACTCGTTCGTTCGTGGCTTGTCCCTGGCCTCCTAGGCCTCCCCCCTTGGCCTCTCCACTTGGGCCGCGGAGCCCTTCATTTTGGTCTGTGACTCGTTCGGTCGGTCGTGGTTCATCCCTGCTCTGCCTGGCCTCCTGCCTGTGGCCCCTCCCCCATTGGACCGAGCCCTTGATTTTCATGTGTGGTTCGTTCGTTCGTCGTGTTCGTCCCTGGCCTCCCTGGCCTCCACCCCCCCGGGCCGTGGCTGCCACTTGTTCCGCACGGAAGCAGCGCCCAGAGCCCTGCACTTGGAGCACGCAGTTTGCAGCATCATCGTTTATCCCCCAAGGGTTCGCCTTGACAGCCGCAGTTGGAGCATGCCAACTGGACCATTTTTTCCTGGATTGTCCCCCCAGGGGGCCGCGCCCGGAGTAATTTTTTGAAGTCGTTCGTCTCAGGATTCCACCTGGGGGGCCGCGAGGAAGGAGTTTGAAAGATTCATTGTTGATTTTCCCCAGGGGTTGTGCTTGGAGGGCCGCGCCTGGAGCGAGGGTTTTCGAAGTCGAAGCAATGTTTGTTCTCATTTCGACAGTCGTAGCATTAGCTTTTGTTTCTGTTGACATTCAGGCCACTATTCGGAGGGCGCCCACTTGCAACGCGCCAATCATGGCCAGGCCGATCCTAAGCCCAGGATTGGGATAAATACCCTTCTGGCTAGATTGAGAGGACGTCTTTACCGATTCCGCGCTCAGGATGGTCCTGACTGGATCGGTGGAGGTGTATAGTTGGCCCCCTTGTACCTACCTTCTCCCCGCTGACAAAAGCCCTGCGGTATTTTTTCACTGTTTTTGGGGACCAGGGTCACCAGGATAACCATTATCAGATGTATTCGCTAAACACCCTGCTGAGTACAATTGCTCTGGCCGCGAATTCTGCCATTGGTTCCGTGAACTCACCGGTTCCTCGCAACATTTTCGTTGAACATCATTCTCATAATTTGGGATTGCAAGTCTTTCGCTCAAAATTGGTGCCCACATCACGGCCCCTTCTACTTTTCCACGATCAGTTATGGGGATATTTGGCCATTCGTTACTTTGGTGTGCCCCGTTCTTTTTGGGATCGAAGCGGGAGCCGCGACGCTCGCGCACATCATCGCATATTTCTCGTGTGTTTCATTTTTTTCAATCTTTCTCCAACTAGTCTTTCTGTTTATCCATATCCTCCTGCTCTCCCCTCCTGTTTCTGACTCCCTTTTTGTTTCCTCCTTTATCTTCCCTCTCGCTTAGTTTTTCCTCCCTCCTCATCTGCGCTGTGGCATTTGGAGTATTCCCTTGCAGAGTCGACTCGATGTCCCGCTCTTTTCTTCTTCCTCGCCTTCCTCCCCTTTCCTTCCTCGTCTATCCTCTTTACTCCTTCCCTCCCTTCCTTACCCTTTCCCTGCCTAATGGCCTCTAGCTGATCCTCCTCTTTCTTCATCCTCCGTCTTCCCTCTTCTCTCCCTTCTTCGTCTGTCCCCCCCCTTTCTCGTCCCTCCTTCCTTATCCTTCTCCCTTTCATTTTTTTTGTTATCTCTCTCTCTCTCTTTCTCCCTCATTCCCTCCCTCCCTCCTTCTCTCCTTATGCTCCTCGTGCCGTCCGTGTAGACGTTGTGGCCCCGTAAGCATGCGGATGTAGATGTGGACCGGCAGTGGTAGCACTTTGCTGCACAGATGAATCCAATTTTCTTCTTAGTAGCGATGGTCCTGCTCGCCAACTCGTCATGGATCCAGGCGCTGGGGATCTTGTTGTGCATGGTGGTTCTTTTCGCGGTCAATTTGATATGGTCGCAAGAATCCATGCTGTACGTCCCCTGCGTCATGCCGGGCATGCAGAGGCCAAGTGACAACCCAGCGGGATACAAGAGCCCCGCAGAGAAGAACTTGGCTTTCGAGGACGTCAACCTCACGACGGCACCAGTGTGTGCTTGTGTGCGTGCCATTTGCCTCTCCTCTATACCCCTCTGGCACTGTATGCCTGTCTGCCTATTTGTTTTTGGATTTGCCTGTCTGTCTGCCTGTCAGTCTGTCGCACTTTTTTAGTCTCACCCGCCTCTCCCTCTCTTTCTTCCTCTATCTCTTTTCGGATCCATTCTCTCTCTCTCTCTCTCTCTCTTTTTCTAGCTCTCTCTCTCTCTCTCTCGCTCCGTGTCTGTGTGTGTGTGTGTGTGTCCTTGTGTTCCTTTGTGCTTCAGCCCCTCTCCCTCTGTTTCTCTCACTCTCTTTTATCTTTCTCCTTCTCTTCCGCCCTCCCTTGTAGGAGGAGGGGGAGGAGGAGGAGGACGGGGAGGAAAAGGAGGACGAAGAGTCGGAGCGATGATATCTCATTATTCAAGACGCCTACGGCGAATTACCGCCCCCTGCCTCTTTAAAATCGCCCATGTGGCCGAACGTTGTGGCCAGAGATCTGCCAAGCTATCGGACCATGTGTTCCCTCAGCCGTGGTGGACACCCTTCGAAGAACACTTGGGGGAGGATGGCGGGGAAGATCAAGAGGAGACGGAAGAGGAGGAGGAGGAGGAAGAGGAGGAGGAGGGATCATCTTGGGAGCCTATGGGGGCGCTTTTGGGGCCTCCTGGGAGCTTGCTAGGGTCCTCTTGGAGGCATCTTGGGGGCCTCCTTCGGCCTCTTGGC